CGATCAGTAATCACATGTGTCGCCTCATGATGGCCAATTTCATGTTGGGACAAATTTTGTGACAGACAGACGGACAGTGCACAACTAGACTTGGTACTGATCATTCCTGTAAAGTTTGGATAAAATTGCACCAGTAGTTTATGAGGAGTAGTCCGGACAAGCTTTTGCGTATCTGGCAACACACAGAAAAAAAGACCTTTTTATCAAAGGGCCATAACTCGGCCAAAAATCATTCAACCGGAAAACCCATGCAATATGCGCAAGGACTTGAGCTACAGATCAATCCTGTAAAGTTTCATTGAAATTGCATTAGTGGTATAAGAGAAGTAGTCCGGACAAACTTTAAAAATAAAAATTATTAAAGGGCCATAACTCTGACAAAAATCATTGAACCGGAAAATGCTGACAATATGCACAACTAGACTTGGTACTGATCATTCCTGTAAAGTTTGGATGAAATTGCACCAGTAGTTTATGAGGAGTAGTCCGGACAAGCTTTTGTGTATCTGGCAACACACAGAAAAGAACATCTTTTTGTCAAAGGGCCATAACTCGGCCAAAAATCATTCAACCGGAAAACCTGTGCAATATGCGCAAGGACTTGAGCTACAGATCAATCCTGTAAAGTTTCATTGAAATTGCATTAGTGGTCTAAGAGAAGTAGTCCGGACAAACTTTAAAATTAAAAATTATTAAAGGGCCATAACTCTGACAAAAATCACTGAACCGGAAAATGCTGACAGTATGCACAACTAAACTTGGTACTGATCATTCCTGTAAAGTTTGGATGAAATTGCACCAGTAGTTTATGAGCAGTAGTCCGGACAAGTTTTGTGACGGACGGACAGACGGACGTTCTCACAGGACAGTAATTATGTGGCTACTCTATTGTTCTCTCTATTGTTCTTTTTAGCCACGCAAAAGAAAATAGCCACATCAAAGCATTACGGAATGAATGACATCAAAGAGAACCTATTGTCCCTCTAGCCACATAATTACTCTCCTGTGAGTGCGGACAGACAGACAGACGGACAGACAGACGACGGAGAAGTGATCCCTATATGTCGCCACTACTCCGTAGAGGCGACACAAAAATGGCGTCAAATTTTCAACATTCATCATCTTTGCCTCGATTTCGATTTAGTCATGTAATTTGTTGGTCACGTGCTAATCGGTCTATTAATAGGATAATCATTAGTCGATAATTACATGGGAAACCCCGCAGGTTTCCCCAGGCGTTGATACTTTCAAAACCAGAGATGTTGCGTTATCTATGACGATCGAGTTTGATGCGCGTATGTTATGAATAAGCAAAAAATATCAACGCCTGAATCCCAGGCTAGTAGATAACGTGGAAAAAAGCTATAGGGAACTAAACCCGGGAATATGCGTAATTACAGGGGAATGCAATGGGCAACCTGTTGCTGTTGGTACCAGTTTTGACTGGGTGCCTAAATAACCGAACGGACAGTTTTGTTTTCATACGATATTTGTCTAGCTGCCGATTTTCCTGCGCCATTTTATTTTTAGCGTCGATGTCAGAAAATCGCGTCCTCAGCAGATCTCTGCATATTGGATTTAGTTGATATTTTACGCTGAGAAAAAGATACATGACCGGCGATGTACCCTATTCGGACAGCTTGTCTAGCGAAAATTAAGTACAAAATAAAAGGATATATCGTCAATTTGAAGAAGTTTCTCAAAGTACCCAAATTAAATTGATGGTTTATCTTTGAAAACTAAGCAGTCATTGCTTAAATCATGTGGTGGGATCATCAGCAAGCTTGAAAATCGGACAAATGATAATTAATGCCGCGACGTCTTTGATTAATTAATTAAAGCAATTCAGTTCCATATGATGTTTTCATAAATAATATATAATGTACGCAATAAGATTAATTAAGTTCTTCATCAAGATATATTTCAGTTGTACCAGCGTGACACCTTTACCGGAAGTGGGTATAACACGTCACAATCTCGGTCTCGTCTGTCTCGCGAGAATGACAGAACGCCAAAATGGCGGCGCCCATGAACTTATTTCTCAAGTAAAATAAAGTGTCTTAAAACACGAATTTCTCACTTATAGGGTTGATGTCAACAGAAAAACTGTCATGGTACCTCTTTTGAAATGATGAATATTTATATAAGAAAGACATCAATCCATCCATTTCTATTCCTTTAAATATCTGTAAATTTATGGATTGAAAAATCTTTAAAATTTTAGACTATCTATAAATTTACAGACAGCTCATAAATATCATGAAATCCTAGACCTGGTTAGCCTAATAAATTAAGCATTGAGTTACCCTAATTAATTAGGCAGTAGCGGGAGTTGAAAATTTCTTTTAATAATGCAGCACAGCAATTTTTCACGATTGCATAATCACAGACTTTCATTGACTTGACATTAAAGTATGTGGGTTAATTAATTAATGTAATTTGTAAATAACACAAATTTTACATCGCTTACAAAAACAACTAATTAAGGTGAATTTTCATGTCCCCACAAAGTGGGAGCATATAGCGTTACACTTGTCCGTCCGTCCCAAAATCTTGTGAACGCAACTCCTCTTAAACTGAATGGCAGATTTTTCTTAAACTTTCAGGGATGAACAACCTAAATGTGTAGATGGCAGTAAAGGAAGGAATTTTCGCTGCGACCAAATTTAACAGAATTATGGCCCTTTGTTGATTTTTTCACTATATACTATGTAGAAACTCCTCTTAAACCGAATGGCAGATTTTGCTTAAACTTCTAGGGATGAATGTGTAGATGGTAGTAAAGGAAGGAATTTTTGCTGCGACCAAATTTAAAAGAATTATGGCCCTTTGTTGATTTTTTCACTATATACCATATAGAAATTTTGTGAACGCAACTCCTCTTAAACCGAATGGCAGATTTTGCTTAAACTTCCTGGGATGAACAACCTTAATGTGTAGATGGCATTAAAGGAAGGAATTTTTGCTGTGACCAAATTTAATAGAATTATGGCCCTTTGTTGATTTTTTCACTATACCATATACATGTTGTCAGTGGGGGCATCCGTGTCCTTTGGACACAGTTCTAGTTTATTTATCTATCCGATATCTTGTCAAAATATAAATGGCCTAATATTATCCATAAAATAATTTAGAAAAATTAATTGAATATATATTACCATTCTTTGTGAAAATTGAAAAATTGCTGTAGGACTATCCTCAACATTGCATATATTATAGGATAGACGTATGTGACTCACATACATACGTCTAGAATTTTTGGCCGGCAGTATGGGCCCGTACAGCTAGCCACTTCCAATTAATGAAGCAGAACTGTTTGACCCATTTACCTCTAAACAGTTGTTTTTTCCTACTCTGAAACCATTGTGCCAAATTTTAACTGTAATTTTATGCACTGAAAATGTATAGCAACACAGGTGCTAGTTTAATTAATTTTAGCTGTTGAATTCAGAAAACACATTTCAGTTCTTCAAAAAATCATTTGATCATCATAATCTTAAAAAGTTGTATGTTGCAAACAAATCTGATATGTTAAATATAAGGTATACATACAGTTATAATGTCACATGAAAAATGCCCTCTAAGAATGGTAATATTTTGTTAAATATCTGAAAAAGGGTCATTTTGTATTCCCAAATAGTATTTTTCGATGTTGGAAAGAAAAGGAATAGAATACAGTAGAACCCCACTAATGAGACCCCCATTTTTCCCGTGAACAATGGTCTACCTACCTAAAATTCCCCAAAAAGAACATTATAAAAAAATATTTTTTAATACATTTTTCGGTGATGGATTTTAATAGTAAAAATTTTAAAAGGCAATTCCCCAAAAAATTTTTTTGCCCTTAGTTGGGTTTTAAAAATCTGAAGGCCTTTTATTAAATTTTACCTTAGAATAAAAAAAGAATTTGGAAATTTTGTCTTAACTTTAAAAAAAAAAGATGTTTTTTTAAAAAAAGATGGGTATATATGAAATGAGAATGGAACTCCTGTTGGGGGATTAAAATAGCCAAAAAAAAATTTTGGGAAAAATTGTGTTTTTCTTATGAAAACTCACATTTTTACAGAAAAAAAAAACATCTACAGATTTAGCAGAAAGGACAAGATGGGAAAATGTTGGGGAAAATCAATCTGGGGGAAAAACAGGCCTGGCAGATGTTTTAGCTAAAATATTGCATAAGAATGTTCCATCTCATAAACAGGTACTGAAAAGTTGTGTTAATATAAAATGTAGTTTTTCAACTTTTTAAAATGTCTCAAGTTAGCTAATATGCAGCATAATTAATGCCAGGAGCCTTTTCACAGTACATAAAAGCCTTTGCAACCAGAGCAAGGGGAGCCCTTATGTCTCAACAAAAGCAACCATGGTCCTGTGTTAAAATTTTCTCAGTACAAAATCAGGCTTTTGCCATAAACATATCTTTCGGGTGAGATTTTTAAGACAGAGGTTCCATGTAATGGTGATTTACATCTTGCAGATTTAGGAACCAGTTGTTGTTTATTTTCTGGCATAGAGTAGTTTCTGTATACAAAGCATTTTCGTCTATTAAATTGGTCTGGAGTGAGGAGCCCATATGGGTTTCCAATGGCAAATATGTATAATCACAAAGTGGGGATGTCTTGGTACCCGATTCTTTTTTAGGGGAATTTAATTTTTTGGGACTAATAAAGGGCAATACAAAAATTCAGGGGGCAAACGGGGCCAAAGGGGTGGAAATAAAAAATGGTTGAAAAACAAAATTTTTTGATGTTTTTTCAAATTTTTGGGAGGCATTAAGGGAAAAAAATACAATTTTGCATTTTTAAATTAAATTTTTTAATAGTTACAATAAGGGGTTTTTGAATTATCCCATTTATATTTCCCTTGTACAAAACAAAAATAGGTTTATTTCCTTTTAAAAGGAAAAACAACAAAAAAAATAAGAAAAAGGGAAAAATTGGGGAGAAAAGAAGAGGAAACAAGATAATAAAACACAAAAAATTTAAAAAAGAACAAAAGAAAACCCAATTTTTAGTTAGCCAAAGAAGAAAGGGGTTTTTATTTTCTTGACATTTTAATTAAATAAAAGAATTTTTGGTGATTTTTAACATTAAATTCCCTCTCACCAAATTGGCCCTTTTCATTTTTAAGGTTTTTAAAGGGGTTTTAATGTGCTTAGTCCCATTATTTAAGAAATAAAAAACCAACCACAGATTTCAAACTTTCTGTACTTGTTATTTGCTTAAATTGATTTGCTTAAATTGTTATATACGTGTATATTTATGTATGTAAAAGGGATATCATTGTTTATTAGTGTCAATGATTGAACTATTAAAGTAGTAAATGCATACTATAATGTTATTTTGTTGGGGTTTTTTTTACACACAATAGGCAAAGTTATGGGAGAATATGTGCAGAAGTAAACCAGATCCACTTAAAAGAGACAAGGAAAGACAGTTGCAAAAAATAGCTACCAGGTATATAACATAACACATTATTAGATATAATTATTTAAGTCTTAGTCTTGTTATCTAAACATGGTATATTTATATATGCATTAAATATGTAAGTGCATATATTGCAACAGTATTTTATCAGCTGGATAAAGCCTTATTGGATATACTTATCTATCTCCAGTCATTATGTCACACGGTTAGCCTATGATGACGCCACATTGGTAGCAGCAAAACAAAACTACATATAGACCCTGTTTTATTAGGGGAAAAGTAAGAATGAAACCATTTAAATAATCTATAAACATGATTAAACCAGACAAACGCTATTGTCTTGATGGAGAAGGTTTATTGCTAAAACTTGTCAAGATACACTTTCTCGCACACCAAATAAATCTTCTCTTTTCCAACACCAACCATGTATTCTCTATTTTTAGTCAATGATTTTCTTTCATGCGCAGTTATATACTGTTTTAAAAAGTGATCCCAGTGTTAATGACTGTTGTAATATATACAAAAAATGTACAATCTAAATTTTAAAACTTCTTGATTTCGTTTTCTCTGGGAAAATGTAAGGCAGTTTTAATTCCTTTGAAGTTTGTAAGTGTAAACAGAAATAATACTTTACATTTTGTTGATTTATTAATAAATCCTTTGCATTTGCCTTCTTGGTAATAGGTCAAAATGACGCATGATACTCTATTCCCTAATGCATTGTGTCAGGCATAGTCACACCTGGGTAAAGTAACTGCTGTGTTAGCTTTCACTTGAAACCAGTCAAATCCTTATCGGAATGGCTGGTGGTTAACTAACAGCATTCAAGGGTAAAAAGCTTTGAAGTCTTTGACCCAAGTAGTCTCTTTAAAAAAAATTAAAGTTAAGTACATGTATTTAGCTACATGTACATTCATTAATTAAAATATGTTTTTTGTTGTTGTTTATTTTAACCAGGGGTGTTGTGCAATTGTTTAATGCTGTGAGGAAACAACAGAAGATAGTAGAGGATGAGATACAGCAAGTTGGTATGTCAGAGAGAAAGAAGGACAAGATTATGGAAGGAATGACAAAAGATAAATTCCTCACTTTACTAAAGGGAACCAGTAAAACCAATGTTAAAGCTGAAAAGGTGAGCATTTACTTTGATACTCTTTTTAGACTCACTGAAAGCATAACTGGCAAATGCAAATAGCTCAGTATACAACCAAGCTTGCTTGAATAAACAGCAAAGTCAAGCCTGTTGGTTGTTTAGGGCCAAGTGTGCTGGTAGTTTATGGCCAAGTCTGCTAGTAGTACAAAGCTTAGCTTGCTGGTAGTATAGTCAGGTTTGGCCAAGTCAGCTGTTAGTATATGGTCAAGTAAGTCTATGGAGATATAGAGCCAAGAATTCTGGTTGTAATAAGTATAAAACCAAGCTCGGTTTGATTTGTAGGTCCAAGCCTGCGTGTAGTCCAGTCTGGATATGGTTGAATGGTGATGACATAATGTGAAAAAATTTATTTGTAGTTTAAGACTGGATAAAAGTGATTACTTTTCAAATTCATATTAGTTTTGTTCCTCAATTAAAAGTTAGAAAAATGGGATTCATAGTTAAACATCCCTTGCAAGTACACATTACTTTTACAATAACAGCTCAGAAGGGAAAGGATCCATAATGAATATGTTTATTTCATATACATCTTTCATCAACAATATTTTTAAGATTGTAAAATACTCCATACACGTTTATATTTATTTTTTCAGCCAGAGGAGTCAGTACCTGTTACCATTAAAAAGGAAGAAAGTGATGAAGAAGATGATGGAGACAATGTAAAAAGTGGTAAAACTTGGAATATACTCAAGGATGATTACATGATGGGTGCTAAGATGAAAGACTGGGACAAGGAAGAAAGTGATGATGATGATGCCAGCGACGATGATGATGATCCAGACTTATCAGATAGTGACTGAGAAATAAACAAGCTGTGATAAACAAAATCTGTAGAAAGCGAGTCGTTCCTGAGATCTTAAAGAAGAACATCCATCCTTAAAATTGATAAAAAACGAAAATATAGCATACTTCACCAATATTCTGAACTGTAAACTATTGAAGATTAGACCTGTTTCAAGATGCAAATAAAAACATATATCTTACTGCTTGCTAAAAAATATTTACATGCAGAAAAGCTACAAAGTTGGATGAAGCAATACAGGTTTCTGGTAGATGGGATACATTAAGATTGGATGGTGCGTGGTGAAGGCTAAGATATTTCTTGTTTGTGATGACACAGGGTACTTGTGAAAAATTCATTTTATGATGATAAATAAAGTGTGTTTATTAACAGGAGCTTTTAACAAGATAATTTGAAGGAAAGATTAATGTTGATAATGGCATGAAACGATAGCTGTCATTTAGTTTATACAAACGTGTAGGTATTTATTTTAGCTCGATTAAGGTGGAAGGATGAAGATTATTTGAGCCACTATGGAGTAAGCTTCCTGGAACTTACCAGTAGTGTTGTCATGAGGAAACTTGACTCTAGTAGTACTCAAACTCCTGATCCCTGGGTTAAGAGGCAGACATCATACCACTAGGCTGCTCCCCTTTGTTGTCATTTAAGCAAGTCAAGATTGCAATTGTCGGAAATGCAAGAATTTGAAGACAGTTGAATGTTGAGCTTTGAAAGAAACCCTGTTTTGTTTTGACTTTATTTTCTCTGCAGTACTGGTTTGTTCTTTTAATGAGAAGTTGAAATGTTGAAAGTTAATATTTGTTATAAAATATAAATGTGTATTGTAGTAATATGACGCAATTCATGGAACACTTCTCATAGATATATTAAGTGATGTTGCTTAATCCAAAACAAAGAATTGTTATTTGTTTACCTTTTAAAATACCATAACATTTTGTAAAAAAAAAAAAATGATAAATGAGTAAAAGGGAATTAACACTTCAAATACTTTGAAAACTGTAGAAAATGTACATTTGCATTTAATTGAAGAAAATCAATATTGTAACAATTTCTCTGTATTTTTGTGTTATATGTCATTTGAAAATATCATTTTCATTACTAAGTACATAGCATATTTTGTTAATTAGTTGAATTGGGGTCAGAGGTTAGGGTAAAACTTGAAAAAAATCCCCCTCTCTGTTAATGTGGGTTACTGATAAAGTCAGACTTCTCAGGTTAACTTCATTAAAGCTAAATCAGATGATTACATTGTGTCTCAGTCACTGAAAATTTTATTTTTTTCTTTATTTTGTAATATGGCTTATAGTAAGTAATTAATTATACAGTTATAACTAGTGCCAATTACAAGTTAGCATTTAAAGATAATTCTTTTTGTTACCTCACCTGTCACAATGTGACATGGTGAGCTTTTGTGATCGCTTTTCGTAGGTAAACTTACTGTAAACGACATCTCCTCATAAACCTCTATGCCAATTTCATCCAAACTTCATAGGAATGTTCTTTTGGTTGTCACCTTTGAAGATTGTTCAATGAATTAAATTCCATGCAAAACTCTTGTTGCTATGGCAACCAAACTATGGCAACCGAAAGAAAAAAGTTAAAATGATCTTTTAAAAAACAGAAAGAGCTAGAGCTTAGATATTTTGCATGAAACATCTTCTAGTGAGTGTCAAAACTGGCCCCGCCCAAGGTGTCATTAAATTTTCATTATATGCATATAGTAAAATAAATCTTAAAAAAACGGAATAAACAAGTATTCTTACTCGGGTGAGCAATTTAGGGCCATCATGGGCCTCTTGTTTATTTAGTGGAAGTTTTTACATTTAATGTTGTTAGATAAATGAAATATTTATAAATTAAATCTTCCAAAAGATTTGCTTTTAAGTTTTCATTTACAAGTGGTTAAACTTAAAGTTGTAATTGTAACAACTTTTAGTATTACATGTATGTCAATAATTTAAAGAAGTCAAAGAAATGGACACACATGTGTATGATGAAATTACAACAGTTATTGCTGCTGTTGAATTGGGATCCCAGTAACTAACTAGAGCTGCAAAAGGAGTGACAAATACCCCCAACATCTCTATGACACAGGATTTTATGAAGGTCTATCATTTTTATTTTTTTTTGATGGTGAACATTATTTTGAAGAAAGCCTTTCATTATGAAGGTGAATAGAACTTGTAATGCTGACAAGAAAATGTCTTGTATTTGACCTTATACTGTGACATTGACTTGACACAGTTCCAGCATGGATTTTGCACATCACCTCACCCTGTTGAGGTTAACATTTGAGAAGTTTGAAGAAAATCCTTACACGGTTCGTACAGTCTTAAAAAGTGCTTAAATTTCAGTCCCTTTCTTAAAAAGTGCTTAAAAATGATAAAAAGTGCTTAAAGTCCTTGAATTTGATTATTCTCCTGAAAAGTGCTTAAAAAGTGCTTAAATTTGCTGCAAATGTGCTTGAAAATGATTGAATGACAGAAAAGTGTCAGTAAAAATCAACACTTACCAAAAAAAACCAATAAAAAAGATCTTGTTCAGTACCAAAATCAATGTTTGCTCAATGTAACAGACACAAATTGCAGTTAATTTGAACTTCACTTCAACCCCTCTATAATGCTCATGTTGTGTTCCAAGGTTTCAACACAGAATTTAGCAAGATTCTGATATGTAGCCCTCATCGCAAGATTATCGCAATACCCCACTCACTGCGATTTTGTATAGTGCTAATGATTTTTACTTAACCATTCAATGAATATTGACTTTATTTTTGTAAGACAATTTACTAATGTAGATATATATCATATTATCATGTTACAGTATTTATATTTAAAAGAAACGGAAAACCTACAAAAGAGCGTGATATATTGAAGTTAGGGTTTTAACAGGGGGCCATAAAACAGGGTGGCAGTTCAGTATCTTTCTTGTTATTCTATAGGAACTGTTAAAGTGTACTGTAGCCAGAAAATGTGTTTTCAACAAAAATGACTTATAAATTAATACTGGTTAAACATTGTGTAGGATAGGCGACGCAACAAATTGTGCTTGAAAAATGGAAAAACATGCTTAAAAAGTCCTTGAATTTTGATACTGGATGTCTGTACGAACCCTGTTACATGAGCCACATCACGACAAAACCAACGTAATGCGTTTGTGACCAGCATGGATCCAGACCAGCCTGCGCATCCGTGCAGTCTGATCAGGATCCATGCTGTTCGCTTTCAGTTTCTCTACTTGTAAAAGGGTTTGTAAGCGAAGAGCATGAATCCCGATCAGACTGCGAGGATGCGCAGGCTGGTCTGGATCCATGCTGGTCGCAAACGCATTACGTTTGTTTTGTCGTGACGATGCTCAATTATATATTTATAGAATTTATAGAGACAAGAGGGACAGACTGACCGGTGGGACAGTGGTTCCAGAAGTGCCCACTCCACATATTGCTTGCTCTTTGAGTATTGTAATGTATAAAATTTCACATTTCTTCCAAAAAATTTGGCGAGTGCTGATGCTGCAACCCAAACTTTTGAATTAAATTGAGTCGCTTTAATGTTCAAAGATGCTTTGTTATTTAACTAGATAATGTAAGCTGATTTGAGCATACCAGAGATTCTTTTATTTTTTACTGTTAAAAGGAAAGGGGTAGCCTTCATCACTAATAAAGAGCAAGACAACCTTCATCACTAACTATAGAACTCTGCGAGTCGGATGTGTTGCCTTGTGAACAATATAGTTTAGGAGAAATGGCCAGGACAAAAATAAAATATGAAAATCAACAAATGGCGATAACTCAAAAAATAAGAAATGCAGAGCAGCAGTTTTGTACACTGCACTTCTTATCAATAAGATCTATCATCCAATTAAGTTTCAAGTCTAAAGCTTTTATAATTTATGACAAATGGCCTGGACAAAAATAAAGTATGAAAACTAACAAAGGGCAATAAGAAATGCAGAGTACCAGTTCTTGGGCACTGCACTTCTTCTTAATGAGATCTATCATCCTATGAAGTTTCATGTCCATAGCTTTTATACTTTAGAAGAAATGGCCTGGACAAAAATAAAGTATGAAAATTAACAAAGGGCAATAACGCAAAAAATATGAAATGCAGAGTACCAGTTCTTGTGCACTGCACTTCTTCTTAATGAGATCTATCATCCTATGAAGTTTCAAGTCCATAGATTTTATACTTTAGAAGAAATGGCCTGGACAAAAATAAAGTATGAAAATTAAAAAAGGGCAATAACTCTAAAAATAAGAAATGCAGAGTACCAGTTCTTGTGCACTGCACTTTGGGTCATTACAAGAAGCATGCATACCAAGTTTGAAGTCAATCCGACTTATAATGACTGACTTATGCTCCGGACAAGCTTAAGGGGACGCCGACAACAACGACGCCGACAAAAGTAACCCCTATATGTCGCCTTTTTCAAGGCGACATAATAAAAAGCTAGGCAGTGCAGTATTGACATATTTTATACTGTTTGCTGACTAATCTTAATATCCCCTAAATTGATAATGGATAGTTTGAAAAAATTGAAGCAAGTCAAGTCGATTTAAGAAAATTCAGCAGGTAACAAGTTAATCAAGTTTTCAAACATCTTGTGCTAGTTTGATAGCAACTGCACTTGAAATGCTCAATATTCATGGCAAGGATAGAGACTATAATGAAGTGATTTCCATCTGTGGGAAATGTTTATTGTTTTTGATGAGGGTTGGGTATTTTAAATTTCTTGGAATAGATGTGGGACTAGTGGGAAATGTTAAATTTTCATGATAAAACAAGTAAGGGATTTGGAACTAGGATTTCCATATGTAGGAAATGTTGACTGTTCATGACACAGGTGCAGGTATGTTTCAATGTTCTACAAGGGTACATGACAAGTTATTTCCGTACAATGTATGTGGAAAATAACGGTGCAGGTAAAGGATGCAGGGCTAGTGATTTCCATACCATTTCCATGTCCAAGTGATACTTGGCAACCTTTACAAAGACAAATAAAAATGTTGAATTTTTACCTAAGAATGACAAACAAACACAACAGATGATATTTTATTTTTATTTATAGCATGAAGAATGTGCTCAAAATTGAAAACAAAATATTATACAAAGCACTACAATCGTAACAATTTTGATTTTCTTATTTCTTCCAACTCTATGTCATACTGATCAAGTCTTTTTTGTCTTTCTTGTAGAAACTCTGCATATTCCTCTGGTTCTAAAGACTTTACCACCTCAATACCAACACTATAAGAAGTCCCAATAATTTGTTTACAGATATTTTCAAGTGACTGTCCTCGATTTTGCGGATCCTGCATCTTTATTTTGGCTATTTCATATACATGTTTTAGTGTTACTTTTCCTGCAACATCTTCCTCTGTAAAAATTAAAGCATATAACTGTAAGTATTTCAAAAGTTCAAAAGAAAATTGTGAAACTTTTTGAAAAATCAGAAACACAAAAAAAAACACAACAAAATGCTGCATCTGCATCTTTGTTCTCGACATAGAAAGGGTATGTTTGATAATTTGGTGAAAATAAGATATTTCTTATTTATCTGACCAAAGAAACTATGTATTTTCTTGATATTTTACCATTCAATAAGCCACTGATTTATCGCATGTGATAGGCCTGTAAACTTTATGTGCATCAGTTCAGGCACTAAGTTAACAACAAACTTTCCATGTTTTACAACTTCTTTTTATGAAAGACATTAAAGTTACATTTAATAAATTTCATAAAAAACTTAATAGCGACATTTCATTAATAAATTGGGTTTTATATCGACTCCAGGTCTTATTTTGGTGTCCAAGCAACAAAAATTAGTTTTATTAGCATAAAAATATGTAACCTCATTGTGGCAAAAAAGGGAAGTACAATTTCTGTTTGCATGAGTAACTCCGCCTGCGGATCATCTGTACATCAATATTAAATCAACAAACATGACTATAAGTGGCAGTCCTAATTTAACGGTATATTTCCGCATTGTAACGGATGTTTTCATACAAATTTAATCTTTTTACGAGATGATTACTTTTACTGAACCCCAGGTTTAGTGCACCGTGAAGCTTAAACGGTTAATGTGTGTTTGCACAAGAAAATATCACATTTGCTGTGTTCCGGATAGCAACTATAAAATTGTGACGTAGCGCATACACGAGCTCATTATAGTCTTCATTTGCATGTTAAAATTCGTATACGAACTTTAGTGTTACCGTGGGGTTTCCCGTTTAAAATCCTAATTTATGAACAATATTTGATGAAATTTACAACAAAACTATAAAACAGGTTAATGAAACTGTAGAATGTTTGATTTTAAGGCCGACGGCAAAATATTTTTATATATTTATTTAATGTAACTTTAAATGTCTATAGTGACTACAGGAGAGATGTTCTTGCTAAAGTCAAAATTCTTTTGAACAATTCTTTCCATAGGGCCCTCTGACACATACACTAAATGTCAATAACTTAACTTATTTGTTTGTTTACTTTGGTTTTGTTTGTTTACTTTGGTTTTGTTTGTTAACTTTGGTTTTAACTCACAACAACACTATCATGGGCATCTGGCGACTAGCTTTAGTGGTGGGAGATTCTAGCTATTGATCAGACAAGGATTTTACACATTTTCACCTTGACTTTCAACTTTATGACCTAATAATCAATAGGCACCATCTACCGGCTATAAGCAATGCCCCTACTAAGTTTTACAAGTGTAGGCTTACTTTTTATGAATTTATTAATTGAACAAGCATTTTACACTAATACACTGTGACCTAGACCTTTGACCTACAACCACAAAATCATTAGTGTTCATCTCCTGGTCGTAGGCAATGTTCGTAATAAGTTTAACAAAGAATCAACTAAATTGGTTCAA